AAAAAAAAGATAAATTATGCTGACTGCCTGGTACATAGTTGGTGTTACAGTCTGGCTCCTTGCCTGTGTGTTTTGAGAAGAGTAATTGTGTGCCTCTGGATTCAGGCCACCTGAGTTCCAGTCTCAGTTCTCTGCCGCGTATTAATTCTGTGATCTTCAATAAATTCCTTAACCTCCCTGTGCCTCAGTTTCCCTACCTTGTTTTCCTCCCCATTCACCTATCTCATCCTCCTCCACAGCGGCTAATTAATGTTTCTCCCCTGCCACTCCTTATCAGAATGTCAGACACACCAACAAAGGGATTTTTGTGTGGTCGGCAGACAGTAGATGCACAATAAATGTTGAAGGGATGAACTAATTTTGGCTTCAGCCATGGGGAGCTAGGGAGATGTGGGTGACTGTATAGACTTTGGAGACTTTAGGGAACTGACCTGGGGGGAATCCTGCCTGTTAGCTCTCCACTGAGGTGGCCTGAAGGATTGGTGCCCGAGGGGGCGGGGGGAGGGGGTCGGCCAGGGCGAGGCTCGGGGAGGGAGAGGAGGAGGGTATATCTTTTCTCCACATCCTTCAGCCCGCCCCTTGGCTTCTGCGCGCTGATGGTTTGTGGATGAGTAATGCATCCAGGAAGCCTGGAGGCCTGTGGTTTCCGCACCGCTGCCGCCCCCGCCCTCCCTGGACATTTATCCTCTAGCGCACAGGCCCTGCCGCCATCGCCACAGATCCAGTGCCTAGAGAGACTCCAGAGGTAAGCAGGGGCCTGGGGTGGCCCAGCAGGGCCTGGGGCTTAGGCTGGAGTTTGTATGCTGGCCACCAGAGCTGTCCACTCCCAGGCGAGATGTCTTCTCCACCTGGTCCATGAGTACCAGGAATTTGGGCTGGTCAAGGGGTAAGAGGCCAGGGGCTGGAGAAGTCCTTCCCCAGCTCAGATATGCATCATGCTTCCTCAACCCTCTGACACCTATCTTCAACTCCTCGGAACCCATGACCTCTTAATATGAGAGTACTGTCCCCAACCCTCAAAATTTCCTCATTGCCCCCTAAATTCCCACCCCAAGCTCCTGCAGGTCCCTAAACTCTCCTAGCTCCTAAATCCTCCAAACTCCTCTATCCCCAACTCCCTAAGCCTCAAAACTTCCTCTACCCCCAAATCCCTCAAGAACACCCATGGCCTTGAGCCCCCAAATCCCCCAGCTCCCTAAAGCCCTAACCTCCTCCAAATTCCTCAACCTCCTTAAATGCCCTCAGCTGTACCTCTTACTATATACAACCCCTAAACTGCCAACCTCCCCTAAACTCCACTGGGCCATCCCCCCAAATCCCAACTCCTCAAACTTCAGATTTCCTCAACTGCCTTAAATCCTCAAACTTCCCCAGGTCCCTATTTCCCAAACTCCACAACTCCATAATCCCTTAGTCCTCAATCATTTAAACTCCACAAACTCCTCTGTCAGCTCTCTAAATCCTTAAGCCCCTCTGGATGCCCCAAGCTCCCTAAAATCCACAAACTCCTAAGCCCAAATCCAGTCCCCTAACACCCACCCCACCTCACAGGCTGCTCTGGAGCAGGATGTAGCAGGCGGCCTGACCAGGTCAGCAGATCAGCTGGGCTGGGGGGCCTCCTGACATCTCCTCCCCCACAGACCCCACCATGGCCCCCAGCGTGCCCCTGGCCTCCTGCCTCCTGTTGCTGCTGTGGCTGACAGCCCCAAGCAGGGCCTGTACATGCGCCCCACCACACCCTCAGACTGCCTTCTGCGGCTCCGACTTTGGTGAGTGTGGACCCCACCCTGCCCACACACACTGCTTTGGTTCTCCTCTCATTCTGGCAGGGCTAACGATGGCACTTACCTTGAGAATGAGTCCACTCACCCTTGAACTTACTCTGCTTTAGTTGTACGGGCATCCTCACATTTCCTTGAGTACCCCAGGCCCTACGCCACCACAGGGCCTGCCTGCTCCTTCTGCCTGGTACACCCTTCCCCATTTCTACATCCCACACCAGTCATCTTGGATTGGTCTTTCCTACTACCCTGTTTAAAATTTTAACCCCTGCCCCTTAGGACTGCTGATCCTCTCTTAAAGAGAAAATTATTCAGTGATACTTGTTATAGTCTGGTAAGGTAGACTTTACTGAGGTCTATCTCGAAAGGGAGAAGGATTACTGCAAGGGGTCTTACAGTGAAGGACAGAGATTGGGCTGATGGGAGCAGGTGGGGGTCAGTGGATGGAAAATTACTGAGAGAAAACATTAAGGGTGAGAGGGATTCTGGCTAAACCCACCTAACAAGATTCTTGCTGAGGACAGGTCAGAGGGATCAGGCATCAAGGAGAGGAACTTAATCAGATACCCAGTGGGATCAGATAAGGATGAAGATTAGATATTAAAGATGAGGGTTTCTTGCTAAACTGACTTAGCGAATTCTTTGCTAACTGAATTTGACAACAAAGTGCACAGATGGGCCTACAAGAAGGTGTTTAGAAGCCTGACTAAAGTTTGGTCAAGAAAAAAATCTGTCACTCCCTTACACACTCTATACCTTCTAATATTCCATATACTTATTTGCTTGTTTTTAGTCCATCACCTCCTGGCTAGAATGTGAGCTCCACAAGGGAAGGGATTCACTGTTGTGTCCCTAATACTCATAACAGTACCTGCTGCACAGAGGGCACTCTATTTTTTTCTTTTTTTTGAGACAGAGCCTCAAGCTGTCCCCCTGGGTAGAGTGCCATGGCTTCACTGCTCACAGCAACCTCCAACTCCTGGGCTCAAGCGAGTCTCCTGCCTCAACCTCCCACGTAGCTGGGACCACAGGCGCCCGCCACAACGCCCGGCTATTTTTTGGTTGTAGCCATCATTGTTTGGTGGGCTGGGCTGGATTCGAACCCGCCACCTTAGATGTATGTGGCTGGCGCCTTAGCCGCTTGAGGGCGAGCCACAGAGGGCACTCTAAAATGTTTGCTGAGCAAATGAACAAATGAATATATGAAGGAGAGTCAATGAACAAATGTAAAATGCTTAGTAAGCTGTCTGGCACCCCAAATTCCTACTTATGTATGTGCTTCGCTGGTATTATGATTATTTTATTTTTATTGGCTCTTGCCACCCATTTTACTCGTTTTCCCCCCTGCAGTCATCAGGGCCAAGTTTGTGGGGACGGCAGAAGTCAACTATACCACCTTGTACCAGCGTTACGAGATCAAGACGACCAAGGTACCCCCACCTCTTTCCCAGCAGTTCCTTACACTTCATCCTCTTCAAAGTAGAAGCCTCTAGCCACAGGTTGGCAAGGTTATGTGACTTCAGGGAAGAACGTGGAGTGGGAGGATTATGTCAGTAAAAGACACACTTCCCCTCATCCATCAACAGATGTACAAAGGGTTCCACGCCTTGGGAGATGCCGCTGACATCCGGTTCGTCTACACCCCCGCCATGGAGAGCGTCTGCGGATACTTCCACAAGTCCCATAACCGCAGCGAGGAGTTTCTCATCGCTGGTGAGGCCCAGTCCCCCGCCCTATGCCACGCCAGCCCGTCCCTCCGGCGCGTCAGGAGGCGAGGCACTGATGGGAACGGTGCGGGTTGAAATCGGGACCACCCCGATTTCAGCCTATCAGAAGGCCGGGTCTTTACTCCGTGGGGTCTGTGCGCCAAGGACGCCAATCAGGCGCCGGCCCCCGGCCCAGCCAATCAGAAGCCGCTTATGCATTCTCCCCCCCACCCCAGGAAAACTGCGGGACGGGCTCCTGCACATCAGCACCTGCAGTTTCGTGGCTCCCTGGCACAGTCTGAGCCACGCTCAACGCCGGGGCTTCACCAAGACCTACGCTGCCGGCTGTGAAGATTGCACAGTGAGTGCCTGGACCCCACCGCCACCTAGACTTCGTTCCTGGGACTCCTCCCCAAGTGGGCGGCTTTCTTCTTGCTCCTGGCTACTCCTTGTCCCTTGGGCTGTTCCTTATTCTTGGTATTCCCCCAAACCAGAGACTCCTCCCTCGCAAATTCTAGTTGTTCCTTTCCCTGTGTCTCGTACCTTGAGATTGCCTGATCCCTGGACCTCTGCTGTTCCCTACCCCTCTAATTCTCCCTTGTGACTATTCTGTAATCCCACTGTCTGTTCCTGAGCCTTTGGGATGTCTTGCTTCCTCAGAATGTTTTTTTTTTTTTTTTTTTTGTGAGACAGAGCCTCAAGCTGTCGCCCTGGGTAGAGTGCGGTGGCATCACAGCTCACAGCAACCTCAAACTCTTGGGCTTAAGCGATTCTCTTGCCTCAGCCTCCCAACTAACTGGGACTATAGGCGCCTGCCACAATGCCCGTCTATTTTTTGGTTGTAGTTGTCATTGTTGTTTGGCAGGCCCGAGCTGGATTCGAACCCACCAGCTCTGGTGTATGTAGCTGGCATTTTAGCTGCTTGAGCTATAGGCGCCAAGCCAGCTTCCTCAGAATGTTCTACAAGAATGCAAAATGCTTTTCCCTAAACCCACTGACTCTTTCTCAGCACATCTGATTGTTATTCTTCAGCTCTCACTGTTCCAGACACCAGGGAATGTTATATCAGCCTTCTGACTGTTCCAAGAGTATTCACTGATGGCCCCAAATGTCCTCTGACCCCAGTGACTGTCTCAGAGTCCTACTGGCTAACCCTATGCTTAAGCTCCCCACCCACCAACTATTCCCTACTACTGCCAGTTGCTTTCTGTTCTGTGGGACAATTCCCCAGGAGACCGGGCTGACTGACACTCAGCAACTGTTCCCCAGCCACCATTCCAGGACACTGATCATTTTGCTGGTATTCTGTAACCCTGCGGAGCCCAATGACTGTTTCCTCCCCAGTTGGGAGGGGCTCTTATTGGGTATGAACTCTGATGGGATGACACCAAGGCTCCCTGGTAGCTCAAGGAGCAGAAGTTGTGCTTCATAGCAGAGGTAGAAGGTGGAAGAGAAGCCTTCATAGATGTATCTCCCTCCTCCCTTCCAGGTGTTTCCTTGTTCATCCATTCCCTGCAAACTAGAGAGTGACACTCATTGCTTGTGGACAGACCAGCTCCTCCAAGGCTCTGAGAAGGGCTTCCAGAGCCGCCACCTTGCCTGCCTGCCACGGGAGCCAGGGCTGTGTACCTGGCAGTCCCTGAGGCCTCGGTTGGCTTGAATCCTGACTCCAGTGGATGCTGAAGCCTGCACGGTGTCTTTCCTCTTCCCTCTCCCAATGAAATAAACAACTGCCATCAGCAGACACTGACTCTGTGTAGTGCCTGGGAACAAACCCATGTTTCAGATAACCTGGTGGGAGCTCCTTGGGACCAATTTGCAGGAGGTGAGAAATGACAAATGTTGGGTTTTTATATTTTACATAAAATCTGATGTATTGGTAATAATTTTCAACATTGGCATTAGCACTGGAGAGCTGCAATATCAGGAACAGTTACTTAATATGCATTTATTGAATCAATTGCTCTATATTAATTTATAATTGCTGTTTGCCCAGGGCTCTCTAGTTAATAAATTTTCCCTGCTGACAAATCCTGCCTTATTGAAATTCTCCATTCACAAATCTTTCCAGTTGACAAACTTATTGATAGTTGTCCTATCAACTGGCAAATGACTCTCATTGAGCCTCAAGCATTGCCATGATGTTGTCCAGTGAGGCTGCCCCATCCAAATCTGTGGCTGTTACTGTCTCCACCCTTAGGCTTTGTGTAGAGTCTGACTTTTGTGAAAGTGAAATCCCCAGGGGACTCCCGAAGGGGTAGCAGTGGCTCTCCACCCCTAGCCTGCCAGAGATTCCTTGGAAGGGGTTGTTAGAGGCATAGGAGGGGTGGGACCTGGAGAAGGTTTGATTTCCCAATCCCCAAGCTCCCTCTTCCCCTTCCCTGCCTCTCCGTTCCTCACCCCTCTGAGCAACTCTAAAGGAGTTAGAACTTTAGGAGTTTTTTTAGGGGGGGGGCCGGGCTGGGCTTGAATGCGCCACTTCTGGCATGTGGGGCCGGTGCCCTACTCCTTTGAGAGACAAAGGCGCCGCCCTCTAAGAGTTTTTTTTTCAGACAGTCTCATTCTGTCACCCTGGGTAGAGTGCTGTGGTCAGCTCACAGCAACCTCAGACTGTTAGACTCAAGGGATTCTCTTGCCTCAGACTCCCAAGTAACTTGGACTACAGGCTCCCATCATAGTGCCCAGCTAGTATTTCTTTTCTTTTTTGAGACAGAGTCTGATTATGTCGCCCTCGGTAGAGTGCTAGCATCATAGTTCACAGCAACCTCAAACTCAGTGCTTACGCAATTCTCTTGACAGCCTCTCAAGCTGGGACTACAAGCACCTACCACAATGCCTGGCTGTGGTTCTTTTTTTGGTTGTAGTTGTCATTGTTTGTTTGGCAGCCCGGGCTGGGTTCAAACCCACCAGCTCTGGTATATGTGTCTGGTGCCCTAGCTGCTGAGCTGTAGGTGCCGAGCCTTTTTTTTTTTTTTTGAGACAGAGTCTTATTATGTCGCCCTCCTTAGAGTACCGTGGCATCACAGTTCATAGCAACCTCAAAATCTTGGGCTTAAGCAATTCTTTTGCCTCAGCCTCCTGAGTAGCTGGGACTACAGGTGCCTGCCACAACGCCTGGCTATTTTTTTTTTTTGTTATTGCTGTAGTTGTCATTGTTGGTTCATAGGCCCGGGCTGGGTTCGAACCTGACAGCCCTGGTGTATATGGCCAGCGCCCTAACCACTGAACTACAGGCGATGAGCCAGCTGGCTAGTATTTCTATTTTTTTTTTTTTTTTGAGAGAGAGCGCCTCAAGCTGTCCCCCTGGGTAGAGCGCTGTGGCATCACAGCTCACAGCAACCTCCAACTCCCAGGCTCAAGCGAGTCTCCTGCCTCAGCCTCCCAAGTAGCTAGGACCACAGGCGCCCGCCACAACGCATGGCTGTTTTTGGTTGCAGCCAGCATTGTTGTTTTGGCGGGCCTGGGCTAGATTCAAACCTGCCACCTTAGGTGTATGTGGCTGGCGCCTTGGACACTTGAGCCACAGGCGCCGAGCCATAGTATTTCTATTTTTATTAGAGACAAGTTCCTTACTCTTTGTCAGGCTAGTCTAGAACTTCTGAGCTCAAGCAATCCACCTGCTTTGGCCTCCCAGAGTGTTAGCATTATAGGCATGAGCCACTGCACCCATCCTCTCAAGGAAATACTGACAGCAATAAATGCAGGCACCCCAGCCTGTACCCTACACACACACCCCCACCCAGTTGTCTTCTCACCCAACCTGGGGTTTCTAGACCTAACCCTCACCTATCTGATTCATCTTCCTCCATAAAACCTGAGAGGCCCTCCTGCTCCCACAGCTGGGCCCAATCCCTGGCTCTTGCCCACTCCAAAGGCCCTGATTCAAATGAGGTCCTTGGTAACTAGAATTTCAAACTGGTGCAAACATTTGATGGACCAGCCAAGTATCAGGTTCACCTGAATCTATTTGAGAAAGGCCCCAATGTATCTTCTTTGGTGATGAAAAGAATCCCCCAAATTCCCTCTCATCAGACTACCCATTGCTCCTACCAATAGGAACCCAGGACTAGGTCACCAAGTGTAGCCCCCTGGGTCATCTATGGCCCTGTCCCAGAGCCTTTTGCACTCCTGAGAGGTTTCCCCAAGGCTAAGGTGACCAGATTTTAACATTGGTAAAGCGGGACACCATTGATGGGGGGGGCGGGGCCTGACAATGCAAACTTTGATAAGCAGTTCTTGATAATCAGTTCTCAACAATTATTTGTTATTATTAAAGTTTAACATTATAAAATTAACAAAAATAATATAAAACTCATATCCTGGCAAAATAGCCACATGGCAGCTGAAAACCGTATATTCCCATTCCCTAGCTTGTGCATTGTTTCCAAAAATTGGGACTTTTTTAAAATGCCACAGGACGCAGGACAAATTGTTAAAAATCGGGACTGTCCTGCCATAAGCGGAACGTCTGGTCACCTTACCCAAGGCCCAAATTATCTCCCAGTTGGAATGGGCAGATTTTGAATGCCAAGTACTTACCCACCTGAGCAGGGAATGTGCATTTCAATTTCTACCTCAATTAAAAAAAAATTCTACCTCAACATTTACAGCTTGGTTATACCCCCAAGAGAGTCTGAGTCTGAATCCCATCCACTGAAAGGGACAAATGGCAGACTTTTTTTTTGTTGTTGTTGAGACAGACTCTGACTTGGTCACCCTCAGTAGAGTGTCATGGCGTCTTTAGCTCACAGCAAACTCAAACTCTTGGGCTCAAGCGATCCTCTTGCCTCAGCCTCCTGAGTAGCTGGGACTACAGACGCCCACCACAATGCCTGGCTGTTTTTAGAGATGGAGTCTTCTTGTAGTTGAGGCTGGTCGCAAACTTGTGAGCTCAGGCAATCCACCCACAGTGGCCTCCCAGAGTCTAAGATTATAGGCATGAGTCACCGCACCTGGCCTACTAATGGTAGCCTTAGCTGATGAGCACAACTATAAGGGAGGGGCCTGGACCCTGGTTTGGCCCTGGTGACCTTGTCACTATTCCCTCTGCTGCCTGCAAAAGTTTGGCAGCTGCCGACAATTCACCAAACCCAATTATCAGCTCCCTGCACCCTTAAAGCTGTTCCCTGACCTCAGGGCCCAATCCCTGAGCCCTCAGCTATTCTAAGCTGTAGGAGAAAGGTGAAGTTGTAGGGGGCAGTGCAAGGATGCAACCCAATGTGGATGCCTTCTCCTGCCAACTTGTCCACATGCATGTCCTGAACCAAGACCCTGTGCAGCATGGACAGGGCCAACCAGTATATCAGGGTATGCCATGGAGTCCAACGCAGCGTACAAAGCTATTCCTCCAGAGACCTGCCATGAGCTCCTGGCACGATCTGTATGTAGCCCTGGGCTCACCACATCCCCCATCAGTCTTCTAGAAAATCCATTAAAACCCAGGAATGGATTAACAAGCTGTGGTGTATGTATACCATGGAATACTCTATTCCACCATTAAAGAAGATAGAGACTTTATATCTTTTGTATTAACCTAGATAGAGTTGGAACACATTCCTCTTAGTAAAGCATCACAAGAATGAAGAAGCAAGAATCCAATGTACTCAATTCTAATATGAAGGCAGTAGCTGATCTAATACAAGCTGGGGAGTAAGGAGAATGAGGGAGCGGGGAGAGGAAAGGAAGGGGAGGGATGGGAGGCAGGGTGTATAGTATACCTCTTGGGGGCAGGACACAATTATAAAAGGGACTTTACCTAACAAATGTGATCACTGTAACCTAATTTTTTTTTTTTTTTTTTTGAGACGGAGCCTCAAGCTATCCCCCCTGGGTAGAGTGCCATGGCATCACGCTCACAGCAACCTCCAACTCCTGGGCTCAAGCGAGTCTCCTGCCTCAGCCTCCCAAGTAGCTGGGACCACAGGCGCCCGCCACAACGCCCGGCCATTTTTTGGTTGCAGCCATCATTGTTTGGCGGGCCCGGGCTGGGGATTTGAACCTGCCACCTTAGCTGTATGTGGCTGGCGCCTTAGCCGCTTGAGCCACAGGCGCCGAGCCTGTAACCTAATTCTTTGTACTCTCAATGAATCCTAAACAATAAAAAAAAATTAATTAAATTATTTTTGAAAGAAAAAGAAAAGAAAATCCATTAAAGTGAGTAAAGTCAGTGACCCATCTCCCACCCTCAGCATTCAGTGTGTCTGTGTGTGTATCTCTGTTTGGGAGAGATGCTGACAGCTGAGAGGAAGCACTTGTGAGGGGTGCAGCATAAGGCCAGCTCTGTGGGTAGCTGGGGACCAGCCTTTCCTTCCCCTAAGCCTCAGTCATTCTAAAAAATGGGCATCACAGTCCCTACCAAGAATCCTCCAGGGAGCTGTGCTGGGGTTGAAGGATGATTATGGGGTGTCTTTTCCCCCTGGATTCTTTTAGGGGGGGGCCAGAACACATGAAACTCTCAAAAAAACAACTTAATGTGCAATATGAGTAGAGTGGCTTAATTTCCAGGCAGGCAGTGTTGTGCAGTCATTAAGAGCACAAGCCCTAGAGCCATCATCTACATTCAAATCCTGCCCCATCCGTGTCCTAGCTCTGTGTCCTTGGGCGAATCATATTACCTTTCTGAGCCTCAGTTCGAACAGCTGTAAAATAAGGATGAAATAAGCTAACTCAAAGGGACAACGTACATATCAGATGAGGACATAAACATGAGGTGCCTGGAACAGTGCTGGGCACACAGCTCTTACA